AAATTCACCGATTCATAAGAATAAACCCACAAAAAGATCAGATTTATGATCAGAAATGGGAAGAGGAAGTGGATGAACACATGCAACTAGAAAATTGACTTGCATGTGTCAAAAAGTTTTTGAATCTCACAAGAACTCAAGAAATCGAGGCTTACCAGCTTTAAACAAGACTTTGATCGGTGGAAAAAGTTGTTTTGGACTCCAAGATGACTTAAGCTTGGTCTGATTAGAAAGTAGATGAAGTAAGATGAGAGATTTTTAGAGAGAAGGAGAAGAAAATAAGTTATCAGAACTTTGGAGAGAGAAAGTGCATGCAGAGAGTGCATGCAGAGAGTGCATGGAGAGAATGGAGCAAAAATTTTAAACTTTCATTTATATACCAAACACAAAACCGAACGGTCCAATCTAGTGCATACACCTCTTTTTCTCTAATTTTCTTTATAAATTCTCGGTTCTTACATGTACTAACTTTATACGAATTCAGTGTGTTGTATTTTGTTTCTTAAAATTTAATTTAAGTCGTCCCAACTGAATACATTTTAATGTATTGTAATATAAATTGAAGTTTTGTTAACTTTGAACGAGTTCGGTGTATTGTAATATTTTTTCAATTTTAATTGAAATCGTCTTAATTTGATACAATTTTAGTGCATTCATTTTTATTTTTTTAATTTTAACACGACTTTTCTTTTATAAGTAAAAATTGTATCAAGTTGTCAAACTTTTTCAGGATGAAGTCGGACCAAACTAATATAATTTTTCTATTTCTAAAATTACACCATTTCGTTAATTTCAAAATTGCACCGTATTGATACTTTTGCTTCTATAATAACTAACTTCATTTCCATATTAATAGAAAAAAAAATATTAAACAATTCTTGCTATTACCATTGCTACAGAAAAAAACTACAGAAAAAGAAGAATAAATAAAATCCAACAAAAAAAAACCTCTTTCTAAAAAGTTCTTTTTGTAACACATTTTACGTGTTTTAAAAAACTTGTTCAATAAAACTTATTTTGAAAAAAAAATCATTCTATAGTGTATTATACGTCTCAAAAAAGCTTGTTTTGAAAATCTTATTTAGGAAAACTTGTTTAAAAAATGTATTTCAAACCTTTCAGAAATCCCATTTTGATAATTTTACTCTATTAGTTATGTTCCCAGAATTCTCGTTGTGAAAATCATTTTTAAAAAATTTCATAAAACTTGTTTTTAAATAGATAATCAGAAAGCCACTTAAAAAAATAAAATAAAATAATCATTTTAAAAATTTGAAGAAATGCTCAAAGAAATTGTGGGCTGCACTGAGAAAAAAAACCTTAGTATCCCCCAGCTCACGGTTTCTTCACTCTATGATTTAAGTGAAAATTTATTAAAATAATAGTACCTTTTTGACAAATACATTACTCTTTTCCATTACAAAATACTAACCTTCTCTTAATAAATGTTTAAAATGAATACTAAACAAAATTTAATATTGAATTAAAAATTAAAAACAACGATTAATATATATTTTAATTTTAAAAATTAGCATTCCATCCATTTAATGGACAAAAAAAATGATAAAATTCACCTAAAATAAATCGTACGGTGTCATTTTCTCAATGTAACAATGAATTCATAAATCATTTCCTTTAAAATAAAATATTTAATAGACTTAAATATATATTAAAAATAAATTTCTAAACCTTATTTAATATTTTTATTTATAAACTCAGACCTGATCCTCAATAAATATAATTTAAGAATAATATATTTATTATATATAAACAAAAATATTTAATAAATTTTGCAACATACTACTCCATTGATGTATTCAGTGCGTATAGGAGAAAACCTACATTGATAATTATATTTTTGAGTCACGCCGTGAGCGTGTCACTCGCGTCTCGCGTGGCTTTCATAAACAAATTGGTGGGAAAAAATTGCGTATAAACAGTAACAAAGTTAGTTAATAACTGCACTCCACGTCAGAAACAGTGACAAGACGTTTTTTCTTTTCTTTTATTTTTCATTGCATGCTACTTATTTAAAAGATTAAAATACTTGTTAATATTTTAATCTATTTTTTTCTATAGTAATAAGAAATAATGATGAGAGAAAATAACTGGCAAGATATAATGTTCAGATAAATTGGGTTAAGAAAATTACCAGGCTCAAAATGGATCGTTGTTTTTTTTTTAAAACGAAAAAGTAATTCATTTTCATAATAAATACATTTGTGGAAGAATGTAATTGAGTATTTATAATGAGATCTATTTTTGAAACACGTTTTTTTTTTTTTATTTATAAAACTTGAATTCGAATTTTAATTAAATATTTAAGTCAAGTTTCATCAAACAACTTATTCATTAATTTAAACTTATGTAAGAATGCATATATTGAGATTAATTTGATCTATTTCTCTCTCTCTCTCTCTCTCTCTCTCTCTCTCTCTCTCTATATATATATATATATATATATATATATATATATATATATATATATATATGCATGAAATGTAAAAGTCATTTAATATTTATTGTTCACGTTTAACACGAAACAAAACAAATAATTCAGTGATCAGATAATAAAAATGATAATCCGTCTTATATTCATGGCAAGCATAATAGGGATAAAGTTTTAGTATAAGTTTATCTTTTATCTTTTTTATTTGTAATTTTTTTTATTAAATTAGTTAGCTATAACAACATATATTTTATTTAATTTTTTTTATTTTGAGCATTTGTATTCCAATTATATTTTTAATATTTCATTTGAATTAACTACGATACATACTCTTATATTTTTATTTTTCAATATTAATTTAATTTATACTTGTATATTCTCCTTTTCTCTCTCGAGATATTAGTTGTATCATTATTTATCATGTTTCAACTTTTAAAGCTAACAAATTATTAATCATTTTACTGTGTTTTGATTTAATTTATTTTACATCAGGTATTAATAAAAACATATTTCGATTTGGTAGTATTTGAAAATATTCATCTCAAACTTAATCAAATCTAATAACTACTAAATTATAAAAACAAGCATATACATCTCAAACTTAACTAAACCTTTACTTTTTTTTTCTTGTATTTTTACTATTTTAATAATTTAAAATATTTTAAGTTTGTATTTTAAAGAATCACTTGACTATTCATGCAAAGATAATTTAAGTATTTCAAAAAAAAAATTTATAAATACTTTTTAAAGGGTTTCTTTTATAGGTTATTATATTAGTAAGTTTAAAACATTTCATTATTTTTAATGAATTATGGCAATGTGAATGAAACATCTTCCATGGTCAACGTAGTTCAATATTTTTTTTAATGTTTTTGAATTTAGAATAAAAAGCACTGTGTATTTCTTGACTTTAATAACCACGCAATTATTAAGATGGAGCACTTAGGAAGTTAATAAGTATGGCAACACCCAAAATGTCTTTATAATTAATAATTAGGTGATTTAATGATTTTATCTTCTTGATCGCATTTATTGTGTGATTAATTCGAGCTAAGATTTTATAACATCCATTTATTCTTTTATTTTAGTTTAACTGACCTTTACTTTATTATATTTAGTATTTTATATATTGAGTCTTGAAAAATAATTTAATTGCTACATTGTAATTATAAATAATTTATACTTTCAAGATTTAAAATCTTAAATTCAAGATTATCTTTATGTTACATCAATATGTTTCAATATTCAGAGACAACTAGTTCGGTCTGTGTATATTTCTTAACTTAAAATGCCAACTTTTGCATTTATTGTTGTTGTTTTATGTTCCTACTTTAGATATTTTATTTAGTTTTTTTTAAGTATTAAACAATACATCTGGTTTCTACTACAGTGGTTGTTTCAAGATTTAGTATTTGCATATAAATAAAAGTTAAAGTTTTGGTCCTTCTTGGCAATTTTTTTTTCTACACATTGGTGCTATTTAGCAAAAATGTTATTTTCTATTTATTCTATTTTAACAATGTTTCCAATGATAAATAATATAAAAACTAGCCAATATAAAGAGGTTTAATATTGTTGTATAGCCACAGTTAATATGTGCTATAAGGTTTTTAAACATTAAAAGTAATGCATGAAGTAGTTTATAGTACCGAACAAAGTTAACCTACGACAGAATATAAATAAAAAATATTTTAAATACAAATGGTAAAATATACCACTTATTTTGCTTATACAATTTTAATTTTACAATTTATCGTAACTTAAAATTAAAATTATATGAGCAAATAAAGGATATTTTACGATTTGTATTTAAAATAATATGTGTGTGTGTGGACTGAAAAGTTTGACAAGATTTTTATTTATTTAATCGTGGATCGATTTTCGTTCATTCAAAATTTTTAAAGTTAATTTTAATTATTAAATTTTGGAAAATATAGTAGTATTTCATTTTACTGCTTAAGACCTAAATCTTAACAATCTTATCAAAACATGCAAACACAACTTCAAAACAACTTAAATTTAAGACTGTAGACTATAAAAATATTTGTTTATTATTATATGAAAGTTATACTATATATTATAAAAATCATTATATAATGAAAAATAACTTAAAAATGTTTCAAAGGACTTGGTTCACATAAAATAAAATATATTTCATATAATATCATTCTTACGTTTCACACGAGGAAAGTGTAGTTTCCTCCAAACTTAAAACACTACAAATATTAAAAGTAATCTAAAAGGATATAATTATGTACGATGGATTTTATCTTTACAATTACAACATTTATTTTTTTTTTCGGGATTTTTGTTTACGGTTTTCAATTGTTCACATATATTAATATCACCCATGCCACCCATTATTTATCCGTTAACCAACTTTATTAATTTGATTATTTTTACTATTATTATTATTTAAAAGTGATAAAATTATATTTTTAATTGAAAAGACTCCAAAATGAAATGTTAGTGCTTGGTGGTTAGGCTAAAGAAGGATTCGTATGTAAAATTCAGACCTAGTCCATATAAACGGACAAAACGTGCATTTAATCGAATTTGTCTACGAAATAAAAAAATTGCAACTGCTAGCTGCTATGAGTGTGACTAGAAATATACCTAATAATTTTCAACCTCAAATAAAGGAAAATTGTAATATATTCTCTCATTCCAAATTTGCCTTACCAAAAGGCGAAGTGGTTGTAGTCACCATCGGAGCGAAGGTCACCATCGGAGCGAAGATCTATTTCGCAGTTACAAATATATCCAAAGAACGCTCAATTGTGGTTATCGAAATCCGAACGCAGAAGCTTTGAGAATGGGGAGTTTGAGATCGATTCTGAAGCATCCAGATGACTTTTACCCGTTGCTGAAGCTCAAAATGGCGGCCAGAAACGCCGAGAAGCAGATCCCGCCGGAGCCGCACTGGGCGTTCTGTTATACTATGCTCCACAAGGTTTCTAGAAGCTTCGCGCTCGTCATTCAGCAACTCGATACCGACCTTCGCAACGCGGTTAGTATCTTCCGTTTCCGCTCTCGATTACTCCGTTTCTTCTTCTGTTTCCGCCTTTTCTCAATTGCCTTAGTTTTTTTTTTGTCAGGTTTGCATATTCTATCTGGTTCTTCGAGCGCTCGACACCGTTGGTTTGTATTCGTATCTTCGATTTGATGCGCGCGCTTTTTGTTGCTTTGTTTTTTGTAGCTTGCGAGGACGAATGAGTGTTAGTACTATCGGTTTCGGTTTGCAGAGATGTGGTTGTTAGGATGCTTGATTTTTATTTCTTTATTTGTTTTTTTAAGCTTTGAATGTTGTGCAGGGATTGGTGTTATCGTCCAGCGTTTTTGGGAAATGAAAGTGATTTTAAGATTCTGCTCTTTTTAAAAGCTCTTGAAAATGGAAAATCAACAGAAAAGCAGTAGCTCGAGTTTTTTTTTTCTTTTTCTTTTTTTATAAAGTTTTTGCTTCTTGTAAAATACTTAATTGTTATGGAAGACGCACATATTTGGCATAATAGAGTTTCTGAATCCCTATCAATCTGCTGGTTATTGCGTCTATTTCCTCTGAATAATACTTGTTTATCTTAAAGTTATTCTATAGAGTAACTCTTACATTCTTGTGAATTTGAAAAAGTATCTATATTGTTGTAACTCTATGGTTTGTTTGGACAGAGGATGATACTAGCATAGCTACAGATGTCAAGGTGCCAATACTGATAGCCTTTCACCGTCATATTTATGATCGCGATTGGCACTTTTCATGTGAGTGTGTCATTCTTTGTGCTCTGTATTTTATATTTTTATTCTAAGATAAGATTCAATATAATTTGAAAACCTTTTTCCCAATCTGTGGTTTTTTAGTCATAAATATTCAATTTAACCACGTCTAACTTGTTTTTCAGAAATTGGATTAGACACATACAGGAATTACTTGTATTGTTACTAAAGACAGCCTTTATTGTTCACGTGGAGAATGGTTTTATTGTATATGAGCCTCCGAATTTATTGATGCCGATTTGCACACTAATTGTTTTTAATGTAACTAGGTGGCACAAAGGAGTACAAAGTTCTAATGGACCAGATTCGTCATGTTTCAACTGCTTTTCTGGAACTTGGAAAGAAGTCAGTCTTTATCCGAACTCATATACCTGAATTGAATTTTAAATTTCACAGCATATGATTTTTCCTCGATGCAATCAGCAGCAGACCTTAGGATGTTGGTATCGATTTTATGCTATCATTGTTATTATCCTTGGGGAAGCGGGGATGTGTACTGTTTATCATTAATTCATGCTACCAATAGAATATCACGTAGAAGTTAGTTTGTGAATAACATTTGTTGATTCAATTTGTATCCCTTTCTGAAATATCAAAATTTGGATATGGAATTACTTATTATGTTGACTGTCGATTACATAGTGTTGATTAACAATTTTGCTCTGTATTTGTGATTGATAAGAATTATCAATTATTTTCACGTTTATCATATAGAGTTTTCTGTATTTTGTATTGTTTTTCACCAGCTGTTACAACAATTTTGGAGTTCCTGTCCATTGCTAGTTACATTCACTTGGTCTTTGTAGGTTTATAGAACAAAAATAAATATAGTTAAGGCTTAAATTGGGGATCTCATTCTATAATTTGTCTTGGTGCATTCATATTGTTAAAGTTGAAGATATTTCACAACCGGTGGAGATATGTGTCTTTGGGCTATTGATTCACTCCTTTTTATTAGCTTTTCTCAGTTATGTGTAATTAAATTATGGCTGTATGTTCTATGACAAACAAGTTAAATGCTATTCAATGACTTTTGCAGCTATCAGGAAGCAATTGAGGACATTACAAAAAGAATGGGTGCTGGAATGGCCAAATTTATTTGCAAGGAGGTTTGTCACACAAGGCTTCTATTCTGCACATATTATTTTTATTATCTTATATGAAGTTTGTTATTCCTTTAGATGATGACTCCTCCTACTAGTTTCTAGTTTTTATTTTTGGTGTTTTAAATTATGTTGTTTGGTAGATGGCAATTTAGAGATGGTCAATATAATCATTTAAATATAAAAGTTTTTAAAATTTGATGTTATAGTATTATTTTTAGTGCATCCCTTATAAATTCTTATCTTCTGAGAACTATGCTGCAAAGGGATTTCTGCCATGTTTTCAACATAGAAAGATCATCTTCATTTATGCCAAGAGACCTTTTTCTTCCATCTGCAGGTTGAAACAATTGAGGACTATGATGAATATTGTCACTACGTGGCTGGACTTGTTGGGCTGGGTTTATCAAAGCTCTTCCATGCCTCTGGTTCAGAAGATCTGGCTTCAGATTCCCTTTCCAATTCAATGGGCCTGTTTCTTCAGGTATCGTGGCTTTAAGATATGAAAACTACAGAATGGTTGCAATTGTTTACTTACATTTTATGCTACCTATTGAGATTGCAGAAAACAAACATCATTCGAGATTATCTGGAAGACATCAATGAAATCCCCAAGTCACGCATGTTCTGGCCACGACAGATTTGGAGTAAATATGTTAACAAACTCGAGGTTTGGCTCTACACTACAGGAATTTACATCTAGCCTAACTTTTTTAGATGCTAGAAAAAAAATTCTCGCATTCTCCAATGAAAAACATGTTCCATGACAAGTATGTGGTTCAGATTAATTTAAGCACACATGTCAATTATATTCTACAGTTTAAGATCAATTCAATCAAACACTAAAATTGAAGGGAAACTAAGTCTTACGACAATCGTTCTTTCAGCTCATTCTCCCTCATTTCATTAATCTCACGTTGTGTGATGGTGAAATCAAATTTCCAGTCACACGTTTACGTACACACATGAAATGCCTTTTTAACTTCCATTCCATGTTCGGGTGTACTGTGGTATGGTTTTCTTATTTGTCACTCCAATTTAATTTTTATGATCCAGGATTTGAAATATGAGGAGAACTCTGTTAAGGCAGTACAATGCTTAAATGACATGGTCACTAATGCTCTGATTCATGCTGAAGATTGCTTAATATACATGGCTGCTTTAAAGGACCTGGCTATATTTCGCTTTTGTGCTATACCCCAGGTGCTGTTCTTTTACTCAGTCACTTCTGATTTAACTGTTATTTAGTTCATGTCACTCTAGTTGCAACCATAATTTATCTGCATGTTGTATGTTGTTTGCATATCATGTTCTGTTTCAGAAGAGTTGAGTCATTTCAGCTTCCTCCCTATTCTGCTCAATAAAATATGAAAAAGTAAAATTAATATATTCTGTCAGTTTCTTCAAAGTATTTAGTTTAAGACTTCCCAAAAGATGTTTCAATCTATTATAGAATTTTTAATAAAGTGTTTTACCGAAACATAGTTGTAAGTTATGACACAGAATATTTTTAATCGTAACTCCATGTAGAATATTTGTGAGAGTACAAATTGATTTCATGTGGTGCGTGATTTTAGTAGATCATGATTGTCTGAGGGTTTAGCTATATAGCCTTTCTGGTTTTAGGTAGTATTATGGAGTACAAAATTTTTTATTTCGAGCTGCATATGTTATAGAGGAAGAAGCAGCTTGGGTCTTAGGTGTTACCTTCTAAAGTTACAGTACTTTTGTGGTGGATGTACAATCTGATGCTGTGTGGGACCTTTTTGCTTTAAGTACTATTATATATTTAGGGTGGGAGGGGTGTTAGTTATTGTTCATATTAATTTTATGTTTAATGATTGATGTATCAAGCGATGGTTATTTTGATAATCTTTCCCCTGTGATTTTGATGTTTATTTGATATGCTACACCGTGACAGATAATGGCAATTGGAACACTCGCATTATGTTACAACAACATTGAGGTCTTCAGAGGTGTAGTTAAAATGAGGCGAGGTCAGAACAACTATTTTGATACTGAAGTCCTTGTGATATATATATTTGTGGCATGCTAAACGTAAATCAGAATTGGTATATATGACAGGGCATGTGTTTTTGAAGTCGTTGGAATAGTGAATTGCTGCAATATGGATTTCATGTTATTTCATGCTGAATCAATCTACATTAAATTACATTGGAATCTGTTTGTTATGGAACCCGCATATGCATTTGTATTAAAGATAACTTTTTTACAATGGGCCTGAATGATGTCCATATCGTGTTAGATTCTGTGTTTGTATGTGGAATGTTTAAATATCACATCTAAATAAATGCTTGCATCCTCCTCTTATGGATGTTGATTAAGAACCTGGGAAGACAGTTTGAACTTGGAAAAGGTGGCTAATAGCATATATTGAGTTTAGAGGCCAGGGGCTACACTCTGTGATGGATATCCCTATACTTTTGAAGTGAAGTGATAATACCATAGCCTAGATGCATATACATTATCTGAGATTCTGAGGCATTTGATTGGTTTCCTTTCTTCCCATTTCATTTTCAAAGTATTGTTTTTTCTTCTGGGAATAAAAAAGGATCAACATGTAGTTGTGTTTGTTGTATGCTGTTACTATTTGTGGGTGTGTAATATCAAACTAGATGTTATTTATTCATTTTTGTTTCCAATTTATAGGTTTAACTGCCAAGGTGATTGACCGAACAAAGACTATGGCTGATGTCTATGGCGCTTTCTTTGATTTTGCTTGTGTGTTGGAGTCCAAGGTATGAATCTGTTGTTGTGCTTAACGCCGTATTAGGTTTGCAACGGAAGAATGTGAACGCTACTCATGTTGCATTTAACATTGGATAATGTTCCTAGTTTCTACCGTGAAAAAGGACCACACTTCGGTTCATGAATGACTTGATGCACATAGACGTCGAAAATTTTCCTGGTTGGGTGTGTTTTCCAAAGAAAATTGCAAATAACCCTTGATCCACACTATTCCATTGCCTAATGGAAAAGACATCTTTTAGTGGCCAAAATTCAAAATGCAGATCTTAGTGTTTTTTTTTCCTATTAGCAGTAGTTCTTAAATCTTCCTTTTCCAAATAAAAAGCTTCTGTATTTTCTTTTGTAGGTTGACAAAAATGATCCCAATGCAACAAAAACACTGAGTAGGCTGGTAGCTATTCAGAAAACTTGCAGAGAATCTGGTTTCTTGAGTAAAAGGTATACACATAACTTATTTGCTTCAAAAGTGTCTGTTTTTACCATTCACATCCTAACAAATCTTTGGTTGTTTTAAGCAGAAAATCGTACATTGTGAAGGATGAAAGTGGATACGGCTCCACCATGGTACGTTTTGGCTTTTGTTTTTTTAAACTAGATTCTGCATTTCTAAGAATATACTAACGGAAACCATCCCTGCAGATTGTCATCCTGGTCATCCTGGTTTCCATCATTTTTGCTTATCTGTCTGCTAACCACCATAATAACTAGTGTAAGTTAAGTTTTATTTTTATATTTAACGTACGATCACATTGTAAGAACAATTATCTTCTTTTATAAAATCGTCCACTCCCTTTTTTTCATGGTAATTAGCTTTTCCTTTCCAAACGTCAATCAGAAACATTAAAAATTCCACGCACATCCATTCATTTTTGTAAATCGTGACTCAACAATGACACAGTTTAATATATTATCATAAAAAGTCACCTATCAGGGTTTCAAGAAACACAACTGTACGAGAAAGATTTCCTGGTTGTTAACATGTTGTAGACCGGTGACGCCAGAGAAAACATGATTACGCCATTATTTTATTATTTTAAATTTTTTTAAACCTACTTACTAAAATACTCTTTTAAGTTTTACACTTTTGTGAAATTAAATAAAAACAATTTTTTTTATTATAAAACACATTTGTCCTATTATTTGTTGTCTAATAGTCATTAGATATACTTTGACATCGTGTAAATTTATACCACTATTTTATAATCCTTTTACTATTTTTACTCAATAATTTAATTTATGTTTTCATTAAATAATTTAATTTAATATTTTTTATTATTTAAAGTTGTTAAAGCAAAGTGATTCCTCATTGGTTTGGAATATTTATTGCACATGCAATTAACGAACTTGCATAAGGGGAAGATTTTCTCCTTGTTTTCATTTTGCTTTTGGTGCGCTTCATTTGCAATTTACGCAATATACCATGGAAAAGGACTTCGATCACAAAAAAACTTCGTGATAAGGTTAGTGCACCTCCTATGGAAAAGGACTCATTGGCCATCGATTTCCAAAACCAAAATCCATCCAAAAATGAAAAAAAGTGAAACGGTTGAGTGATGCGGGTCATGGACAATTATTAATGTAATTTTACTGAATTTTAACTTTAGTTTATTTATACTTTTTTATACTATAAATACTAAACTACTTGTACTAAATACTAAACTATATTATTTTTTACTTCAGTTTAGAAAAATTGAACCTTTGCATTTGTAGTTTAGTTAATCGCATAAACTGACAATCTATTAGTTATTATTTAATCCCATGATTATTATTTTTATTTTATTAAAAAACAAAAAATTGACATGAAATTATTCTTAACCATAAATATTTTAAATATCTTGTATTATATGGTATCATGGTTAAAAATAAAAGCATTACACACACATATACACACACTTATATATATATATATATATATATATATATATATATATATATAT